TGCCGCGCCGGTGCAGCCACCGCGGCCGGGCTCCGACGTCGGCGAACGAGCCGGAGCGTTTACTGGACGACCAGGCCGCCTCTCGTGCGCGGATTCTTAGCCCCTCGGCCCCGCCGGCCTCACTGCTGGTCTCGGCCCTCGCGGGGCGCAGGCCGAGCGGCTAGGGAGAGGCAAGGGAGCGGCGCCCGCGGGAAGGAAGCCCCTGATCGGCACGAGGTGCGAGGCGCCGGGCGCGGGGCGGGGCCACGTTGGAGGCAGGGCTAGACGCGGCGGCCGGAACGCGGGAGCGCGGCGCTGCGCGGCTGTCGGACCCGAGAGCGGCGCACCGCGGGCCGGACCGCCTAGGGGCGCGCGCCCGGAAGCGGCCGTCGGCGACCGGGAGGCATGGCGGCCGCAGCGCTGAGGGTGGCTCTACGCCCGCCGAGCCGGTGAGCGCGGAGGGGCCGGGGCGCGGATGCGCGGGGACGCGGATTGAGAGCTTCCCTGCTGGCGTTGGCGGTCTCACCCCGTAGTTACGGGGCTCGTGAGTGACCTTAACGGGGAAGCGGGCGTTGATACACACTCGGTCTCTTCCAGGCTCCTGGGAGCGCGGCCGACGCAGACGAGGGACGCGCACCAGCGGGCCTCGTTGCTGTCGTTCTGGGGACTGGTGCCCATGAGGTAACCCGGCCGCGGGCCCGGCCTGGGGAATCGCGCACGGGAACCCAGCGAGCAAGGATGCTCGATGTTCAGTCTGCGAAGTTTCTCAGTTAAATTTAGATGGATGCCCTTATGTCTTTTCATATGAAATACTGTTATATCTGTAAGCAGAGGTCAAAAGTTAAATGCAAAAGTGGTTTAAAGAAAAGTTAATTAGCTCTCAAGGGATTCTTGTGTAAAAATTTAAAGAGCACAGACAGCACTTCCGTTTCTTACTCTCCGGAAAGGTGGGAGGAGGTGAGAGGATTCTTTTTTCCACCTGGGACCGTGAATACTTTCTAGGGACTTAATTCGTAAAACTCAGTCTTGATGCTAGAGATTCGGTTGTTCTGAATAGTAACTTATCAGCATAGGAGATGTGTTCCTGAGGGTAAATCAGACTTTTGTCCGTGCTCGAGGATAGGGAAATTTGTTAAGAAATCTCTAAAAGTATAAACAGGAACTTGCCAGTTATTTTTATTATACTCTCTTAGTCAAATCATTTTTATAAATCACAAATCCATTTAAAATGTGAGCAACGAGCTTCTAATGGATAAACAACAAGGTCCTATAGTGTAGCACAGGGAACTATTTTATATCCTGAGATAAAGCATAATGGAAAAGAATATAAAAAAGAATGTATACATGTATAAATGAGTCACTATGCTGTACAGCAGAAATTAACACATTGTAAATCAACTATACTTCAATTAATAAATAAATAATGTAACAAGCTTCTAATTCATCAGTTTGGTATTTTCACTTTTCAGTGCTATCCCAAGGCCCACCTGAAACCCCTCACTAAAGATGAGCACTTCCCTTTAATTTATACCCTGACACCCCATGGAGTTTTTCCACGCCTTCCTGGGTTGACCGTGCCCACACAGTTCTCATAAGGACCCCCCGTGGAGGCCGTCTCCCTGCCACACTCAGCATGGGAGGCCAGGCCCACACAGTCCTTTCCTGCGGGAGAGCTCAGTACAAGTTTGCAGGCACTTTCCCTAGTGCCATGTCTCTACACGTTCACGAGGCCAAAGAGGAAAATGTTTAGTGTTTGCTTTATCCTTTAGAGCAGAACCTCTGCAAAAGAAGAAGGTGGACCCTAAAAAAGACCAAGCAGCAAAGGAGCGCTTGAAAAAGAGGATCCGACGACTGGAAAAGGCGAGCCAGGAGCTCGTTCCCATTGAGGATTTTATCACGCCCGTCAAGTTCTTAAATAAAGCGAGGTACGGGCCCTCTAGGGTTGTGGTCTTCAGAGCAAAGGAGTTCTGTGACCTTCAGGAAGTTCTGTCTGTACTTCACACCTGTAATGGGAAGGGGTCATAGGCTTGGGCTGGCTTGGCCCTGTTGAGTCCTCTTCTCCTGGATTGTCTCGTGGGAGGTGGAGAAAGCATTCCTGGGCGCTGCTCCTGAATGGCTGATTGTGGGAAGGAAGCTCAGGGCAGATGCTGGAGCGAGTTTGGAGTGTTGCTCTTGCAGAGGAGTTTAGCTGTGACTGACAACTGGGGCCCTGGGCCTGCAGCTCTTACCCCTTCCTGCTGGTAGGAAACCCTTAGCCTCCTGCTCTAGGATGCAAATGCTCAGAGCTGGGATGTGTCGTGTGTGGGGTTGGTGGGATTGCTGCCTTCTTGTCAGAAGTGCGTCCCATTTATAAAGTACTACCTCGCCATGTAAGTGGGACAAGGCAGGTGCTTTTTTGGGTCTCCAGGGCTGATACAGGCTTTGACTCCCTGGGATATTGGTGTCCGTTTTCATAACACCATTTGACTTTTCTCCAAAGCCACGTTTCCCCACCAGCAGGCTCTGCTTGGCACAGAGGACGTGCTGCCACAATCTGCTGAGAGCACTGTTGTTTCTTTTCTTCACGTAAAGAAAATGGCAGTGGTTCCAGGTGTCAGTTGCCGCTGCTGCCACATCCAACATTCTGTCCCTTAATTTGTCCCTAAGTTCCATCTGCATCTGGCAGTGGGGACACTCACGTCCCGTGCAGTCAGTTGGCGCCCCCAGGTTCATGCCCTTGGCTCTGTGTTCCCAGGCAGCGGCCGCCAGTGGAACTTCCCTTTGAAGAGAACGAGCAGAGAGCCCTGCTTCTGAAGAAATGGGCACTGTACAAGCAGTGTGAGCATGAGATGGAGAGGGGTGCCATTGCGTCCCTGCTCGAGGCCCAGCGGGAAGCTCTGCAGGAGCTGAAGCTCACGGCCCCAGAACTCCATGCCGAGGCCACCAAGCGGGACCCCAGTCTGTTTCCCTTTGAGAGACAAGGGCCGGACTACACACCGCCAATCGCCAACTACCAACCCCCAGAAGGCAGGTACCGCGATATCACCAAGGTGTACACACAGATGGAGTTCAAGAGATAGAGCTGCAGGCAGCTGCCCTCAGGACGCTGCCGTCGGGAGCCTGCACCCCCAGGCTCAGGCCTGCTGTGAATAAATGCATTTAACCAAGTGTCTGTCTTAGGTCAGAGTCACAGTTAATTCACCTGAGCATGCACGGGGGTTGGGGAGGCTGCCCTTCTTGGCCTGGTACTGGGGAGAGGAAGGCCAAAACATTGACCACTGCCCTCCAGTGAAAAGGAGGATTCCAACTGTGTGGGGCAGACGCCACCAGCAAGAGGCACAAAGTGACCCCAGGAACGGAGGTGAAGGACATGCAGCTGTGCTGTGTGTTGCCTGCACCTGGAGGAGAGGCAGGGCTGGCTCTGGGTTTCAAGCTGGGGGGTATGGGGGAGGCCGAGGAGAGTGTCGAGCGGCAGGGACCCCACTGCGTGAGGCCATATGTCCTCCAGGAGGGTATGACTGTCTACACGCAGAGGCAGAGGCTGCTGTTAGTCTGGAGGAGGGAGTATATGAGTGAGCTCTGGCACCAGAACAAAACACCACAGACCAAGGAGCTGAAACAACTCACATTTATTTCTCTCAGTTCAGGAGGCTGGATGTCCAAGATCCACGTGTCGGCTGGGCTGATTTCTCCCAAGGCCTCTCTCCTTGGCGTGTAGACGGCCATCTTCTCGCGCACCCACGTGATCATCCCTCTGTGTGTCTGTGTCCTGATTTCTTATAAGGACACCAGTCATTGGATTAGGGCCCACCCATGCAACCCCATTTCACATTAAGCACCTCTTTAAAGATCCATCTTCAAATAGTCTCACTCAGAGCAGCAGGGGGTTAGACCTTCCCCGGAGGAACTGGGGGTACATAATGCAGTCTAACAGTGAGGGTGCAGTGTAGGCAGAGGTCCACTTGTACCCCTTGCATCACCACCTCAGAAAGGCTTTGGTTCTTCACCACCTTAGTGCAAACAAACCAGCGCAACACTCCACCTGAGTAAGAATTCAGATTATCCATTTTCCTAGAGGGCACTGGCTACCCAACCCCGGAAAATCACACCCTGTCCCCACCTCATCAGCATGTGGCCCTTTCTCTGCCTAAAGCCTCCAGCCTCCTCCTCCAGGTCTAGGCTCGGACCCTGAGCCTCCCCCACCTCCCAACTTACAGATTTCATCCACGAGGTTGTATGATCAAGTCAGTGGGTCATGGCCAGCTGTTTTGTTTTAACCTTTTATTTAGAAGTAATCATAGATTGACAAGAGGCTGGGAATCAACAGGGAGGTGCTGTGTGTGGTTCCTCCGGCTCCCCCCAGTGTCACATCTTACAGGGCCAGTCATGCCAGCTCCCAGAGATAGACTGTGCAGCCAGAGTAGGTCCAGGCTCCCAGATGCAGCTGTGCTCATCTGTGTGTCCACATGTCACAGCACAGCCACCCCTGCGGTCCTGCACTACAGGATGCTGCCCCATGTCCCTGAACCCCGGCCCCATAATCGTCCGCATCCCTATAATTACGTTCTCTTAGGCGTCATGTAATGGAGCCAGGCCCAGCAGCAGTATCTCACAGGGTGGGGGCAGGTGCTGCTCCGCGAAGCCCAGCTCAGTGATAGCGAGCGCGCCACGTAACAGGATGCACCAGGTCACAACGCAAACTGCTTATCATTGTGGGCTCTGTCCCCAAAGTTTGAAAGATGATGCTCTTCCTTGTCACTGTCCATTTTCTTCACAGCTGATGTTTGAACGTTCACGTCTGTCTCCTGAACTCAACGGGACTCTGAGGCCACTTGTCTGTTTCAAGCCTGTGGTCCCAGGGTGTGCAGACATGAGGGGTGGACATGGGTGGACAGAGGAACATTTTTCAGGGTGACGATCATCTGCGGTGGAGCTCGCTCAGCATCCAAGAAGTTGTGGGACTCCTGATGGAGCCAGCACCTGGCCACAGGCACCCACGGCCCTAACCCAGCAGCAGCAGGAGGGCGGCTCCACCAGGAGCGGCTGATGGCCTCCCTGCCTAGGTTTCAGAGCAAGGACACAGGTGGAGCTGTAGCAGCCTCCCTCCTCCTCCTCAGCCAGAAATGCCCGTGAACGCAGCCACGGTGGACGGACGCTGGTTGCCTCAGACACACCAGGGCTCCCCCCTGCGACGGGGGGACCCTGGGTCTTCTTTATACTCACCTTTGCTGCGGGAGTCTTTTGTGCGCACCCCACCACTCACAGGTACACAGTCACAAAAGACACTTGGGGCATATAAGAGCAAACACACATGGTGGGAGATTTTACTCTCTTAATGTGTGCCCTTCTGAAGTGATGGATTATTTTGCCCCCAAGAATAAGTAAAATGATGTTGAACCACCACCTCTGGCCAGATTGTGAGGGAGGCACTGAGATGCCGCAGGCCTGACCCTCAGCACCACATGCTGGGGCCTGTTACACGGCACAGATGCTAAATCGTTTCACCCATAATAAAGAGACCTCTAAAGAACTAGTGTTCTTGTTGGTTCAAATACATATATTTTAAAAACATCTATGAGAGTGTAAGCATACAAAATTCTAATACTGGCCAGCACAACGTCAGGTTATAAATCTAACCCTTTCAAAATTAAACTGTGGATTTAATTTTCAGCTTCTGTTTGGAATCAAACCTGTTAAATGTCTTTTGATATATTCCACATTTTCAAAAAACGACCAGGGGAAATTCTGAGGGAAGGAGACCAAAATTCCATGTGTTGGGCTTGGGTGTCTTCAGTCAAGAGTCTAGGAACCCTCTTTATACAAGGTTGTGTGTCCTGGAGCTGCGGGCCGAGGAGGTGACGCCGCCCGTGCCTACAGAGGAGCAGAGGAAGTGCCCGCGGTGGGAGGACACCTGCGGCCAGCACTCCGTGGCCATCACCAGACCAGGGCCAGATGGGGCCACCTGCGCATCCACACGGATCCGGGTTGCCCCTCGAGTGTTCAACTGAGGAGCCCAGCCCTTGGGACGGCCTCTCCTTACTGCTGTCCCCAGGCCTGCCCGTTGGCTGCCCACAGGGACACGCAGGGGTGCCTGGCTTCCTGGAGCTGCACGCTGAGTGAACTGGCTCTGAGTGTGGTGGGGCAGGCGAGGCTGGAGATGGTGACTCTGTGTCCCACGCCAGGCGGAAGCTCCCAGGGACCTTCTGGACTATTTGGGCCTGTCACTGGTCGTTGTCCTGGGGCAGAGGGAGGTGCCAGTCTGCAGGGGGGCTCTGCCTGGGGGCCCACACCAGGCCGTGCTTCCGTGCAGCCCGGACTCTTGCCTGCTCGCTCTCACGTAGGGACCGCTGCAAAGGAGACCCGGTCACCTGTGGCCTCACAGGTGCCCTGTACCTCCCTCCTCTCGGGTGCCTACCCACACACGACAAACGCAGCCCAGCAAGCCCTGGTGAGTGCAGGGTGGGGTGGGGTGGGGGTGGTTACTACACACACATCTAGATCATTCTCCAAGCTACTGTGAAAAACCTACTGTGCAGATGACCATTTTGAGGATATTTTTAATTCTCCTGGGCCCCAGGGCTTGATGCCTTCGGTTGACCTAATCAGATTCACCAGACAAGAGGGGCTGGGGGCTGAGCCAGGAGGAGAGATGAGCCTGAAAGAGCGGCCAGAGGAGGGAAGAGGCCAGAGACAGGCAGGCACGCACGCGCGCGTGCGCGACAGACAGACAGTGGGCGCCACCACCCGGGCTAGTAAACCCAGGGCAGCAGGTCACAACCATGACAGGGCCTGAGGGGGTGCCAGGTGCTATGCTGGCCACTTTACATGTAGAATTTCACCTCTTCCATCTGTTTTCACTGCTTCCATCTGTTTTCGCTCAAGCTCTATTGTCTCAAATGGAATGTATTGTTCTTGTTAAAAAGCGATCAGAAATGTAAAGTAAATATGAAAGCCCTGCAGACTTCCCTCCTAGGGTGAAGTTCACAGCTTCCCCAATTCCATTTGAGGCCCGCATTTCAGGGCTATCACCCATTTCCCTAAAGAAGGAATAACCTTCTCCTTGCTGGTGCACGTCCTGCTTTTCTCATTAAGTGACATACTGCGAGCACCTTTCCACAGGGGGATAGGTTACTAGTTATTTTTCTTAATGGCTGTGTACTTCTCCGTGGTAGGGAAGACGTGGTAGGGTTGACGTCTGGTCAAATGTCTATTACTGGACTTTAGGTCACTTTCAGTCTTTGCACTATTACAAATGGTGACACAATGGACATTTTGAATTTTCAGTTGTTACCCAATTACCTCCCTAGGATAAACTTCCAGGAATAAAACTGTGGGATCAAAAGGTATGCATTTGACATTTAGATAATCAGAAAACCTGACATTCCACAAACACTGCCCAGGTGCCCCGACTCTCCAAACCCCTATGGACATTCCGCTGGGCAGTAACCAGTTACTGTCATTTTAAATATATATCAGGCTATTTGGTTTTCTTTTCTTTTCCTTCTGTGTGCTACTTTTCTATTCTGAAATCGTTCCCATTTTTCTTACTGATATGTGACAGCTATCTTTAAAAGATATATATATATGTACAAAGGTTATTAATCTCTTGCCATATAGGCTGCAAACTACCTCTCCTGTTTTCCACTGATCTCGGACTTGTCATTTTCTTTTACACTTGGCAGTCCTGCTGGCTCCCTCCCCCGCACGCTCCGTGAGCACTGCGCCTTCACAACTTCGCTCCATCCCCCCCACCCACACCCACACCCCCATCAGCTCCAGGCCACCGCTGTATCCTAGACTAGGGTGTAGGAGTCGGGAGGACAGGGGCTGTGTTCTCATCACTACTGGATCCCCAAGAGCGTCCCAAGTGGTAAGTGTCTGCTCAATGTATGGTTCACAACCCCCTCCTTACTGGTCTCTAGCACCTCCACCATATCCTCTCTCAGCGTGGCAGCCAGACTGACCTTTTAAGGATATAAATCAGAGCACGCTCCCCAGTACACGTGGAGACTGAAACTGAACCCCTTTTTTAAGGCCCGCCCCCTTCTCCCAGCGTCTCGTGCCCCCGGGCTGGTTCCTGGTCTTCCAGGGCTCGGCACGCCGGGTCAGGTCACCTGGGCCTCGGCGCTGCGGCGCTCCTCCCACTCGCGGCAGCTGTCCAGGTCGCGCCGCCACTGCCCGCAGGCCGGCCGCTCGCCGTGGACGTAATAGTGGCGCAGGAAGTGGCCGGCGCTGCTGCAGAGCTCCCACTCGGCGCGGTAGGCCTCGCACGGGCGCGGCGGCTACGGGGACGGGGGAGTGAGCTGGGGACCCGGTGAGCGCCAGCCCGTCCCGCACGGCCGGACCCGGTCTCCGTCCTCCCGACCTGGTCCCGCGGGTCCCCGGGTCCCACCGCACTTACCTGCCAGCCTCCACCTTCCGCCATGTCCGGGACTGCCTAACCCGCCTCCTGAGCCCGCGGACCGTCGCGTGACTGATGGGCGGAGGGACTAAAGAGCCCCGAGATCTCACCACTAACTCTTCGCCCATCTCCTTGAGACGCGCCACTGAACAGGACGTCCGGGTTGGCAGCCAATAACAGTCGAGGGAGGGCGGGACTTGGAGGCCTGTGTGGGCGGGGCCTGGAGGCTGGGGCGGAGCCGAGGCCGGTGTGGGCCGGGCATGCCCCCAGGGTCACCAGGCCCGGCTTGCCACGTGGCGGAGGTGACTTCGGCGTCCCCTCGAGCCGGCGGGCGCCCGGCTGCTCATTCACATCCAGTGGCCGTTTCTGACGGAACCACGCGGCTCGGGCAGGTTCTTTCCAGCAGCTTTATTTTCATAATCTCAAAGATCGGTTCATTTCGTCAGCACGCACCGGAATCAGTGTCGCCACTCCAGTCCTACGGCTGCATTTGTCCCGCCTGTGTCCCCTCGAGGGCGGGGTGACTCCCAGGTAGGAAGCGGGGGCCCACGGGCGCGGGCACAGCGCAGGCTGGCCAGAGGCGCGGAGGCTGTATGGCCTGGGGGACAGCAGGACCTGCGGGTGGGCGTCCGGAGGTCGCGTTAGGGTCGAGGCTGTACTAAGGCAGGGAGACGACGTTTCTCCATGGGGCGATGCGCTCGAGGCAATGACAGCGAAGGGGAGGAGGCTGGTGGGCCCGCAGGACCGCCCTGCGACACCCCTGCAGTGGTTCTCCAACTGCCACCAGCCTATCCACTGGCTCTGGGGCCCCTGCAAGGCGGGTGCTGGGCCCCCTAGGAGTGAGTCCGGGTCAAGACAGACAGCTGCAATTTCACTAGGAGTCCTGCCACGCTGGGTCACAGACCAAGCTTGGAGAAGATGCTGCCTGAGAGGAAGGATGCAGGCCAGGGTACAGGCCCACAAGTGGCACCCCACCGTGTCACCAGAAGACCCACCAACAGGGTCCACCCCTGGCCCAAGCAGGGAGTGCTCTCCTTGTATACACTGTGGGTGTGGCTCAGGGAAGACAGAAACCAGGGGCCAGCACACTACATAACATTCATCATGTAACTGAATGATGTGGTAGCCAATGTGATCCGCAAACAAGGCTGCCCACCCACCAAGGAGGGTGTCTACTCTTACTTCTGTCAGCAACCAAGACTCCTGAAGTGGAGGGCCAGGTAGGTCACAGAGTGCCCATGCCTTCCAGAACCACTTCCATTGCCATGGGTGTGGGTTTGGGCCACAGGGCCCAGCCCTGGTCATCATGATGACCTCTGATGCTCATTCTCTGAGGACATTTGGATGAACCCTGGGCTGGCGTCTTGCAGGGGATCATCTCCTGAGTGTTGAGGGGAGCCCTGTCCAGAGATGGACCCCTTGACCTACAACAGGAACAAGGAGAGCCCCTGCTGGGCTGACCACCCCCACCCCAGGGGTCAGAGAGCCTCGTTTCTCCCTACGCTCCCCAGAAGCCCCCAGAGGAGCTCTTTCCTAAGGGCAGGGTGGAACGAGGGGCCCCTGCCAGCAGGCCTTCCTCCTGCCCAACTGTCAATCCATGTTGGTACCTAATCAAACACTTAGAGGCAATTCAGGTTTTAGTCACTGCCTGTTTTTATTTGAAATTCTTGATTTAGAATTGTTTTCAAAGACAGGAAAATAATTGAATTAACATGTTGAAAGAGCTCATATTATAGAAATTGAAGACCTGAAACTAAATTAATACTAGTAAAAAAAATAAAGACAGGCCAGCAGAACTTTGGAAAATTTAATACATTAAAACTGGGAGTGGGGGGTAGGAAAGGAGAAAGAACTATCTTTAGCTTTCATTTATTCTAATAGTCACATTTGTGCTTCACCACAAAGTTGTTTTACAGTAGAACAGATTCATTAAGGAGCCAGTTATTTCCAAATGAAATCAAAGTTAGAAATGCTTTCAGGTCAAGTTTTCCTTCTGAGGAATGGTTCCTTGGGGGGAAAAAAAATCAATATGTAAACTAAAAATGGAAACACCCTTCCTCAAATACTTAAATTGCAGCCAGAGTAATGCCATGACCACTATTTATAGAGCACTTATCTGTTTAAACCACTTTTTTCCAGGTCAAAGGCCAACAGCTAAGCTATGACCTGGAGAAAGAAAAGATAAATGAAAAAAAGAGAAAGACCACCACAACTTAGAGCAATTCAATCCCTTCACTGGTTTTTAGCAGGAATCAGGGAACTCTGCTCCAGCTGAGGCTGTGGGCATGCCCTGAGGGCTGAAAGCAAGGAGCGTGAGTAAGGGATCTCAGAGATGGCCTCCTCTTTCCCCAAATCACGCACACAAACTGCTGTCCACTTGCAGGTGAAACCTGGTAATTCTTAGGTAACTCTAAACAGACCTAAAGTGACAGAGTGTCCCTGTCAGAGCCAGTAACTAAAAGCCAGCATGTTGCAATTATTTTATTTTCCAATCAGCCAACGGTCCCAACCTATGGCTTTCTTCCCTTTTTACGCAGCGACTGTCCTTCTCCAGAGAAAGCGACGAATCTGCCTCCAGCTTCATCCTGAGTGTGAAGAGAAAATACCATTTTCAGAAACTCCTTGGAACTTTAATAAGAAATGCTTTATTCTGTTGACTCATGTACCATCTCCCCATTTTCCTTACTCCCACATTCATAATAAGAAATGTCTTTGAAATAGAAATGCAAGTTATAATCTACTGAATTGAAAACAAAACCATGGAATCACAACTCTGTCTACCATAGCCTTTTTTCTCAGGTTGAGTATATATCCTTTTGTAAAGGTATTACATTTTCAATGTAAAAAATACAAAATACACCCCCTAAAAGAAAAACCACGCCAAAGAACATTTCCAGTCACTGTTCTGTATATGCTTACATAAACTATTTTCCTACTTAATTCCCCAATCTCAAGGCAGTGCGCTGCTCTCGTTCCCTCTAATTCCACTCCGTGGGCAGGCAGTTCTGCCATCAGCTGTTACTTCCAAGTCTGCAGTATTCAAGCTGCCCTGAAGGCCCACCTCAGTCACACATCTCTCCCTGGACATCTATTCACGGACACCCCAGCCTCCCCATCCCTGCAACAATCAAGGACGAGGGGGCCCGAGGACACAGGCCTGAGCCAGCAGACAGGCTGGGGGCAAGCAAAGGCCTGGCAGGGACCACGTCAGCTCCTGAGACTGGAAAGGTGCCAACACGGTGTCAACTTGAGGAACACTAAAGCCAAGAGGGGCTGTGAGTCTCTGAACCACCCCGCCTTGGTCCCTGAGGGACCGAGCATCGAGAAAAGGAACCAGGAGAGCGAGGATTTGAGGTGGGGTGTTCTAGAACCACCAACAGAGTTACGGCTGCCGGGGTGGGCAGTCTAATGGCAGGCTGTGCTGGGTCTTTCGCGCAAGTTTCCAGCACCTGGGAGAAGTGCCCACAAGATGGAACCTCCCCTCCCTGCCCCCCGGGCCGCAGGAGGCCGTTTCTGGAGTGCGGAGGCACTGAGATGACCGTGCAGTGGTCAGAAGCTCTGCCCCTGACCTTCATGCACCCTTAGGCTCACTCCTGGCAAATGCAAACAATCACAGCAGCTGCCCCAGGAGACTGTCCTGGGGATTAAACATTTCAGTATAGAGCACGTGGCCTGGGGCCTGACACCCGGCAAGGGCTCAGGGAGCTGAGACCTTGCTGGTCACTGACACAAGGGGACACCACAGCCCTCACAGTCTCGACAGTTGGACCACTGAGGAGAGGAGAGGCCCCAGAACAGAGAAAAATATCACATAAACACCCTCATTCAGAATGGAAAGACTCTCCTCAGTCACCAGTAGCCAATGAAACTTGTCATGACCCATGAAACATACTCACCTCTTCAACCTTTTTGACCAGTGGACGTGAATTTCTGATGAACGTGATCTTACCAAGTTTAAATTCATAGTTGGGAATTCCTCTATAAAGAAGACAGAGCAGAAGAAATATGTCAGGAGAAGGGACTAAAATCCATTTGTGACCATCTGGTCCGTGGCTGTACCCACCCCCACCAGCCTCAGGCCAGCCCATGGGTGCCCCCTAGCACCCCCCCAAGAGGGAATGGAAGGCAGCTGGGGCAGGGTCTGCAGGCTCAGGGCCTCACTGTCTGTGTCCTCTAGCCTCACATGCCCCCCTGCAAGGGCTACACATGCACTGAAATCACTTCACTCCCTAAGAGGCTGCGTGCAAACCCGTTTCTGGCATTCTCCGTGTGCTCTCACATGGTCAACAGGGGACAGATCTCATCCCTGCCACAACCATGCAGGCCACTAGAGAAGGGACTCTGCTGAGAGTCCCTGGACCAAACAATACAAATACAGCTAAGTGAGGCAGCTCCTGCCTCCTCCTGAGGGAAGTGATCAGTTATTTTAAGTCACAGAGGAAAATGGGCATATTACTAAGTCAGAACCAGAAAGGTCAGAAGTAGGAGAGAGATCCAATCAGGGGCCGGTGGGGCTGGACTGCGGGGGTCTTGGGGAGAAGCCTGGCGATGATGGGGGGCACCGATGCGCTTCTGCCACACTGTGTTCCAGCCCACCGAGGGGGGCGGCGGGGCACCCAGGCCCCCACAGAGCTGAGTGAGGCTGCCCCAGTGTGGGGCCTGGGTCGGGTGGAGCTGAGCCAGGGCAGACCCACCTCTTGATGTCTCCAGGCTTGATTGGGGAGGGGCTGGGCTCTACACCCTTCTTCTTCCCGTCCAGTCTATTCCCGGAGCCGGAGAAGGCCTAGACAAGCAGGCAGGGGGGCCATGAGCTAAGCCCCAAGGGTAGGAGAGAACCACCTCGGGACTGCAGCGCCCATGCCCTCTGGGGGCTGCTGGGAGCTGAGGGGAGCTTCCTGGCCCAAGGACGGTGCCTCCACCTGCCTCAACCCCTGGATGCCAGCTGCCAAGGAAGGGGTGACAGGTCCAGCTGGGCCCACGGCTCAGCTCTGCAGACCTGCCTCCTGGCAGTAGGTTGAGCCATGCCCACTGGCCCCTCTCCGTTTCCAGGGAGGACAGCAGTGCCGAAACGTCAACATGCAACTGACTTTCCAACAGTGCAGGACACGGCTTAGAGAGAAAGCAAGAGTGATCACATCTGGTGAATCTACGTGAAGAGTATATGTGTCTGTTGTACTAGTTCAGCTTTCCGGTAGGCTATAAATTTTTAAAAGAAGTTGGGGCTGCCTGGCAGTTGTTGGGAGGATCCAGGAGAAAGTGGATGGAAAAGGGTTTGGAAACTGAGAAGGCGCCGGGTACACGTGTGCGGGGTCCCCCAGGCCTGCTCCCAGCTGAGGTTCCCAGGGTGTCACAGACAACATGGCAGGAGCACAGACAGTTGCATGGCGGCACTCACGCGGAAGCCCAGCTCCCCGGCATAGCTGCTGTGGTCAGCTTCGCCTTCCTGGGAGGGACAGAAAAACGGGGATGAGCTTCTCAGTGGGGCCCCCAGCTCTTCCCTTGGGCTCCCTCACTGCTCCTGCTGTGCCCGCACCCCAACAGCTGGTACACACTGTGCCCTGGGAGCGGGGCTGGGAGGGAAGCAGAACGTGGCTGCCTCGGTACCAGTGGAGGCCAAACACCGCCGGAAGGCCAAGACACTGGGATGCGCTCCAAAGACTAATACCGGCGGTGGGGAGCTGTGCAGAGCTCGGGAGGGACGCGAAGGAGCGACTTACGGCTGCCTCCTCATGCTGGGCTTGTCTCTCCGGCTCCTTGTAGCCCAGTGGAGCATCGAAGTCCACCTGTGTCCCCAAGAAGAAAGCACGATGAGACAGGGCCACACTCAGCCTCCATGGCTTTTCTGTTCTAAGTTGGGACAACTGTGGGTCCACATGCAGTTGTCGGAGCCGATACAGAAGGGGCTCGTACAGTCCGCCCATTTCCCCAATGGTCATGTTTTACAAAATCACAGCAGAACATCGACAAAGACAACCCAGCCCTCGTCCAGACGTCCCCAGTTTACACGCACACGCGGGTTTGTGTTTTGTTCTCACAATCTGTCATCACTGCAGGTCGGTGCACCCCCTCCCCTCAACCCCGGGGTTAAGATCCTGAGCAGTTTCAATTACCACAGGGACCCCTCCTGCTGCCCTTTCATAACCACACCCTCTCCCTCCAGGAGAGAGAGGCAACTTCACTGCCCTGGACCCCGGCAACCACTCCTCTAAACAGACCCAGACAGAACGGAACCCTTCTGCTGGGCATCCTTCCCTGAAGACCCAGCATGCTGGGCTGTTGTGCCCACTACTCGGAGCTGAGCAACCTTCCTCAGCCTCCAAGACAGCCCCTCGCAGGGCTCAGATGCTGACGGATCTAGCCATCTCAGAACCAGCAGCAACCCTGCCACCAATCACAAGGTCAGCGGCCTCCTCACAATGTTCCGGCACCATCTTCCTCCCCGTTCCCCCAAAGAATTCCAGGGGTTGCATGACACCTGCCCAGGGCCCCCAGCCGCCCTTCCTCCCACGGCCACTCACGTTCATGTCACACTCGATGATGGACACAGCCCTGTCAGGCTTAGTCTCCATCACCCGCAGCTCATAGATCTGAGGAGAGAGAAATCAGTCGGTTTTGTGGCAGCACTGGGCCCATCCATCACATGTGTCGCTGCAGCCCCCTACCCGGCTCCTGCACACACATGTCATTCACCTCCACGACACCCTCCCCAGCCACACCTCTTGCTGTGGAAAAGCGGCTGTGGGTGGCTGCCTTGATGCCTGTCACTTAGCTGACCACCTCTCATAAGTGATTCAAATCAGACAAGGCAGTTATGCAGCAAATTGCAAAAGATTCAGTGTTTACCCCAGGAAAGCTCACTTCTAAGAATTAACCCTAAGTAAATAACTAGCTAAATACTGAAAGAGAAAGTGCTCTAAGAACGCCTGCTCCAGCACTGCCTATGGCAGCATAGGCCGAAGACGCCCATCACTAGAATGGTTACATGAGTGGGGTGTATTCACGTGGGATCCCAGGCAGCCAGCATTCAGGAAAAGATGCTGAAAACCAGTTATGCTGCTGTGTGTCGAGGATGATCTCATGCATGTAAAACACGCACAAAGTCAAAAGGATAGGAACTAAAGGTGGCAGAATGGACTTTTTCCTGCATTGTTTTAGGTTCTTTCTCTCTACCTAGAGTATGTCTTGCTTTTATAATGAATGGTCGGGACAGTCCCACCATTGAAAAAACTGAGTATGAGAGAGAGGGTCCCCCAAGTACAGTGAGAAGGCTTGATGTCCCCCGTCTGGCTTTATGTTTACTCACTAGTGACTAATAGAAATGAATGTGTGTTGCTGTGTGGATGCCCCACCACCTCTCCACACAACACGGGCTGCCTCCAGTGGTTCTGCTGCCACGGACAAGGCGGCATGAACATCCGTGTCCGTGGCTCCCGGGCATGTGGTCACCTTTACCAGTCAGCGTGTTTTCAAACTGCAGGTCGCAACTAACTAGTGAGTCATAAAACCAACTACGCTGCAACCAGAACTAGGAAAGAAAAATATTGGAACACAGTACAGTAGAAATACTAGACTATGTTGCACGTAGTTAAGGCTAAGGACTTTTGTAATATTTATGGTATACTAGACATTGCCATGCTGTATCTAAAACAGTAATCTTAAACTTTTACACATTTAACATGTATTTTTACTGATTTACCTTTATTGAAGTGTAGAGAACACCTGAATTCTAAATAACCCTCGAGACTTATTCTTTTCCAGTGTTTCAGGTGCCATCTTTTAAACTGCATTTATTAAACACTGTTATGGATTTAAATGGCAATGTTTACCACAATTTACCTCACATTTGCTGGTTTATTGGTTCTTCCCACACCTTACTCTTTCCTTCTAGGCTAATGCTTATTCCTAAAGCACATGCTTGTGAAGTTTCACTGGTAAATAAATTCTCTCAGATTTTATCTGAATACATTTTGATTTTACCCTATTCTTTAAAGAAGGTTTGACGACAGTTACTTTCTTGCAGCCTCTGGAGCTCCTCTACCGCAGGGGGAGGCAACATTTGCTGTTGACAGGCCTGCTGTGTGCTGTTCTTCTCTAAGTGCTGGATCTTCTCTGCTCATCTCTCCACGTCTGGTGCTCAGCACCTGTAACTACCCAGCCTGGTGGACACTAAACTCCCTGAAAGCGTGGGCTGTAGGCCAATTCTGGAGCAACTCCACTCATCTCCTCACAGTAGTTCCACCCTCCGTTCTCTCCCACTGGGGTTTTCACTGAGCACGTTTGGTTTTCTCAGGATCTCCCAAACCTCAGCTGCTCGCGTTGCTGCCATGCTTCTCTGTGCAGACACCTAAGTCACTCCTGCAGATTCAACTTCCCCTTTGCTAATTCTTTGTTGGATGTTGTTTAAGCCTCTGACTGCTTTTCAGATAATCCTGGATATTTTGGGTAGACTTTTGCTGCTTGCTAAATTTTATGATTCCATTAAAAAATTTTTTTGAACATTTTTTACATAGTTATTTTATTTTTGCACCTGAAGGTCCCAATTGTGATTTCTTAAAGGCCTAAATCTGCTTTTGCTATCTTTGCTTTGGGTGTCTGGTGGTCTTATAAGGAGTTCCTGTTTGCTGGTTCAATCTATAGCAACCCTGAGGGCTCAACGAAACTGGGGGTGCTGTTTTCAGAGAGCCTGGGATGAGGACAGCACCCACCTCTGCATCTATTTTGGCCCCTTTAAGGGCCCCAGTTTCACATGGATGCCTTGATCCAGACCTTCCACCATGCACTGATGTGGTCATTTGCCCTCGGCACACGCCTGCTGAGTCTTCTCAGAAGGGCCCTTCAGAGCATCTAGTCTTCCATACTTCCAAAAGCAGAAGCCCAGACATGCATTTCAATTCTATGTACACCTGAGTAACTCACCTTTCCTTTCAGTGCAAAAAGGTCAACGATATCTTTCATCATCAATTTTTGTTTCAGCATTTTTTACTGCCTTAATATTTTAAGAACAATGACATTAAGGCTGCCTGTAATTAATCAAGAAAGCTTGGGATTCCCTGGTGGCACAGAGGTTAAGAATCTGCCTGTCAATGCAGGGCACACGGGTTTGAGCCCTGGTCCAGGAAGATCCCACATGCCGCGGAGCAACTAAGCCCATGCTCTGCAACAAGAGAAGCCAACATAATGAGCAGCAAGTACACCGCAACAAAGAGTAGCCCCTGCTCGCCGCAACTAGAGAAAGCCCGCGCCCAGCAATGAAGACCCAATGCAGCCAAAAAAAAAAAGTTTAACGTATTCAGCTAAGTTAGACAATACCTAAAACGTCCCCACGAAGGTAAAGGGAACAAGATTATTAGTTTACGAAAAAATATAAAAGTGTGTTTCAAAATCCACAAAATTGAACAGTAAGATTCTTAGTATCGGATGCTTCAAACAGAAGGAGACTGTCAGAGAACACGATGGATCCCTACATGACACCGGGGAGTAACTGGCGTCTGATCCTGTGTGTGAGAGAGAGAGCGCATAGGCTCCTGTTCACAGCTGTGAGGGCCCCGGCATCTGAAAGGCTGAGATACTCACCTTCTCGTTGTAGTTGATGGCAATCACATCCCCGGTGGTCAGACACGCAAAGTTTCTCAACGCGTTTTCTAACCTGCAGACACACACTGTCAAGGCAACATAGCAAGATGAAGCCCTCAAATCTGAAACAAGTTTCCACAAGGCATTTAGAGGATTGGGTCACACTGTGTAATGGACAGACATGTGCCCAGCTGGGGCTCAAAGACACGTGGCCATTACTCAGCAACAAGAAGGAAGCAGCTCTAACACATGGTAATGGGGTGAACCTCACTCTGGGGAAGAACCAGCCACAGAGCAGTGAGACCCCTGCCAAACCCCGAGAAAGGCAGATTTCTGAGGTGGGAGGCAGCCGAGGCTGCTGGGACTGAGGGTTGGCTGAGGATGGGCATAAAGGGGAACAAAGGCCCTTCTGGGAGGACGGCCAAGCTCTGAATACACAGGGGATGCATCTGTCAAACTCGCTCAAGTGTACATTTTACTGCATGTAAATTACACCTCAACAAGTTGATTTTAAAAGTCCTATGGGAGCACAGGGGGAAAAAAAAATTGAAAAACATATATAAGTCTCCTCAAAAGTCCCCCAAAAGCAAAGATGTTTTCATTTACACTTTTGTTGTTTCTATCTTTTGGGTAATAACCCATATTTAGTGTTATGTTTCAAATAAAAATATTTAATAATAAAAATTTTAAAGAAAAAGTAGCCTGTAAGCCCTTTTTATAATAGTAAATAATAATAAATTCTTAAAAACTGAGTAACCCAAATGCCCAGACAAGGGAATAATGCCCAATCAAATGGAATATTTAAATCATGTCATCCTCATCAATTTACAGAATTGTTTTAAATACAAAGGTCAAACACAAAACATGGCTCCAGATGTGCCACTGAGACGCAGCACACCTGGGTGAGAGGCTGAGGGCAGAGGAGCCCGTGTCTACATTCACTTCTCTTTGTCAAAAGGCCTCCCGGGCCGCTGGCAGCTTCGTGAAGAGTCTGGGGTACACGCCCTCTTTGCCCCCTTGTGTGCAATGCCAGCTGCAGGGGTGCCCTTCCCTCGACTCCTCCTGGTGACCCTGAGCTGCTGGACGCGGCCCCCAGGGCCTGAGGGCGGAGCCAGCTCTGCACTGCCTGGACTCAGACCCTGAGCAGAGCCTGGCGCACCGCGTCCCATGGAAGGGGCACCCTTTCTCTGCGGTCACGAGTAACTGTGCCAAGAGACACTGTCTCTGAAAGCAACCTGGTATGTGTGTGCTGCAGCACAAGCAAAAGGACTCCATACCGGAGAACATACAAGGGGCTGCAGTGCAGAGGCCGGCAGGGCCCAGTCCCGGGCATGGGCACTGTCCACACCTGCTGTGAGTAGAGCGCCCCGTACCCTGTATGCCCAACACAGGGGGCTCGACATGCCCGTCCACAGACACGGCCAGCGGAGGCCTCCACACAGCCAAGTGGCATCTGGGACATGGCCAGCAGCAGCAGCAGCGTGCTCCTGGCTCTGGCTGGGGACAGGGTGCAGGTGGGGAGGGTGGAAGTAGCTTTTTTTTTTTTTAAACAATCTGTGTTGTTCAACTGAGTTTTTTACAAGCATGCCTTTTTAACAATAAATAGGTGGAGTGACCACACACACGGCTGGCTTATGTTCAGAAAACACACAAAAAATCACTAAGACCTGATGCCTTTGCTTTCCTCTGCTGAGAGACAGAAAACGTACTAAGACAGGGCTCCCCATGCCTGAGCACAGGGGAGCTGAGAGGCAGACGAGCTGCCCTCCGACTAGAACACACTGGGCTTTTTGCCAGAGTCATCGGCCACCCAGAGGAAGGGTTCCACCTGCCCTCTGGGAAGCGTCCAGAGAGCGCTCAGCATGCTCATGTGGCCCCTGAGCCATGTAGACGGGCTGGCCCCACGCCACTGTTCTCATGTCACAATGTCAATCACGACAAGTGTGTGGTCCTCAAAGCAGGCACAGACCCAACCAAGGGCTGTCGCCCGCCACCAGCTGGCACAGCCCTCCCCAGCTCAGAGGAACATGTTCCACTTCAGAAGGATACACGGCCTTGGGGTTGGTGATGTCCAGGAAGTCGGGGCTTTGGGGCTGGAACTTGGAGTACGTGGCTACCTGCAGGTTGACGCTCTCTACCTGAACCAGGCCCCCCTCCTCCAGCAGCAGGTTCTGCATCATCTGGAAGGGGAAGAAGACAGGAGGCAGTAGGGGTGCGGCCGGGGCCACCACAGTGGGAGCGCCTGAAGAAACCACTTGTTGGAAGGGTGCCAGGTGCGGGCTCATCCGCCAACTTTAGGCCTCCCAGGGCCGGAGCATTTCCACAGGGACACCTCCCCCCACCCCCACTCCCGCAACTTCACCTGACTCCCAAGGCCCCAGGGCCAGCTGGGCTACACTGGAGGCGGGAGGATGACAGCCCCAGGCAGGCTGGCCTTGCCAGGGACAGCCCACAGCCTAGGCCTTGGGTGACTGCTCCAGCCTAGGCCTTGGGCATCTGTGGAGCCGCCCTACCAGGTAGAGGTCAGGTGAGAAATGACACAAAGAGACAAACATGGGCCCGAGGTCCTGGGGCGCAGGGAGCCAGGACCTAGCAAGGACCTGAAGCTCGGGATCCGAGAAATGAGCACCCCTGCGCATCCTGGAATGTTTTTTTGCTTTTTTTAATTTCAAACCTTCTTAAAAAAAGCTTCAAACGTACACAGCTAGCAAGGGCCACGTGGGGAGCTCCACGCACCCACCCAGGTTCCACAGCTTTCAGGTCATAGCTGACCTTGTCCGTCCACCAGCGCCTGCTCCCTGCCTATCCACCAGGGCTGCCTGGAGCTCTGGGTGGGATGGAGCCTGCCACTCAGCTGACAGAAAGAAAGCACCTGCTCAAACACTCACTGGGGTCGGGAGACCCTCGAGCTGGCTCTGCAGCAGCAGCTGGGAAACCCCAGGCACCACCTGCTCCTGGCAAGAGCTGCAAGGCCAGCCTCGGAAGAGGACGGCAGGCAGCTCCATGCTACCTACAGAGGCTTCCCCGGGGATGGGATGTTTCCAGGCAAAAGGATCCAATTAGCTTTCTGGCCCAAAGGGGTCTGAGAGCCTGGACACGGGTCCAGCCAAACTCCAAATCTGCAGGTTGGAGGAAAAGCCTTACAGGAGCAGTGTCCCCCAGTGTCCCCCCTTCTCTTTCACTAAGGACGGGCCACAGAGGGGCCTGGGGAAGCTTACACTGCCCAACACTTCAGCCACCCATGGCGCTCCACAGATAGTGGGACAAGGCCTGGTGCCTGTGACGCGAGGTGCAGGCACATGAGCAGGGAACCGGGTTGGGTCTGGGCTTTGAGGAGTGACTAAGAGTTCCCCTGTGGTCAAGGAAGCAGCACAGGACCAGCTGGGCTTAGCACTCAGGAAGGACCCAGGCTCAGGAGGGGCGATGGCCCAGGGGAAATGGGCAAGGTCACCACTGCAGGAGGAGGAACCTTCAAACTTCTATTCATATTTAATCTCAAAATATGAGTTAAGGCCACTCCTTTAGAAGGTCAGCCATTGCTGCGGTGGGGACCCTTGGCTGTGCAGGAGAGGTGGGACGCTCTTTAG